CGAGAATTTAGATTGTGGTTTTGTTGCTTTGCTCGAGCTTGTTTGAGGCGCACCCTTGCTTTCTGTTTTACAGTTCTGGGGAAAGAGGCAAGGAAGTTCAGGAACTAGGTTTCAGAGTCCTGAATCAGATTAGGTAGCTTTTGTACTTTTGATTTTGGTACATGTCATGGCTTTTTCTGTTCGTCTTCTTTCTGTTGAAAGCCATGTACTGTTCTGTAAGATGATTAGTTTTGAGGAAATGAAAAGATAGATTTTTGTTCCGCTGCATTTGATGTTTTTAGGTAGCTCTGTTGTTCTGTCTGTGCTTTGTTGGTTAAGAATTATGAAAATCAGGTTTATATCCTAATCCCAAAGCCAGATCCTTGGTTAAGAAAGGTCCTCTTTCGTCGCCGATCCGGCTCGGTGCGGGCTGCCGTACCCCGTCGGTGCGGGTCGTGACACCTTCAACCAGAGTGGTTTTATTGTCGAGCAGGTCTGCCCAACCTGTTGGTTCTTGCCGGCCCTGCCCTGCGCGTCGTGATGTCCTCACGGATGCTCGTGCGTATAGTATGTGTTGAGAATCGCTCGTGACAGCCCTAGCTTATGTCGTCCAAGTCGTGTTTTTCAAACGTCCAGCGGGTTGCGCAGGGCCAGAAGCGGCCTCCAAACTACGGTCAATCACCGCTCGCTGCAGCGCTTGCACTAGTCTCTGGCATCTTACCTACAGCCCGGAGGTCGTGATGCTGCGGGTTCGGTTTGATCAGCTCCGATCGGGCTCTGGCGGTCACCACGAGTGTGAGAGAAGCACGCGCTCTAAGTGCATTGAGCACGAAGAGGTGCCTGTGTGCCCAGTCAGTTCAAATAAGGAAAACTAACAAGAAGGCAATGGAACAGTGCAAAAGGCTAAAGCCAGAGTTGTATATTTTCATTGAACTGCGTCTCCTTCTTCTCATGCAGAAAGATAAAACAGTAAAGTATTCTATATCTAGAAAAGCCAAAAAAGTGCATACTGTCATTAACTTAGATTGCGGTAACTATGATATGTGGGAAATAACGGAAAGCTGAGCATAATAATTAAAGTTAAAAAGGTAGTGTGAACCGCGTGCATTGGTCCAACGTGTGAGCACGAGCCAATGATCCATTTGGAAGCTTTGATGCACGCGCATCAGGAAAGGTGATGCATAATCATGAGGTTTTTTGGAGATAAGGTGTGAAGAGCTTGGGTTCAACGTGAAGGATATAGATTCATTAGGTTCAGACAGGACCAGACAACAGTTTACCATTCGGTACTTCACAGTATCACGTAATACTAGAATCTCGGTACTTTGTGAAGTACCGAGCTCATACGGGTAGGTGTTGTGGTGTATTTTTATTGGGTCTCCGGAACTGTCATCCGGTGTCTGAAACCCAATTATTTTTCCAACACAAGGGGCGAGGGCAAGAGCCCTACTAGTTCAAATACTTGTCTAGGCTTTCCTCTTTAATTAAGAGTTGGTGAATATTAGGGAAGGTTATTTTTTATTGGAGATATTTTGAATTCAATTTTATTCCTAAACACCTGAAATAAAAAGTCAATTTCTATTTTTGTAGCAAAATGTTCACGTTTGCTCGTAATGGTCAGTTGTTTTTTTATTAGCTAATCATAATGGCTAAATCTCATCATTAAAAGGCTTTTGTAATATCTATAATGGAAACATTATGTGGGCCGGCACGCTAATTATAAGTTTAAATTTTATGATTTTTTTAAACATTTATTAAATATTATTATTAAAATTTTAATCAATTATTAAATGCATAAAAAATTACAATAAATGATAACAAATTCATTTGGATATTTTTTTTACTATTTTTATAAAATAAGTTTTTAAAGTACAAATAGTTTATTGGAACCTAAAGAAAAGTCATTTCCTAATACGTTATAAATCTAAGGGCTTTGTTTTGGGACCGGCTTTTTTTATTACTTTTTAAAAACGGAATTTTAGTACAAAATTTTTTTAATTTTGTAACTAAAACCTCCATTTTATAAAGCAATAAAAAAGCCGTCCCAAAAGAAGCCTAAGTCTGTTTTTAGTCTATTTTTATCTTTTTTAACATAGGCCAAAATATATAAGAAAATAAGCACTTTTAAATTTTAAATTTATCATAATAGTTTTTTTAATGCAATAAAAAAATATAGATAAATAGTTAAAATTATAATTAAAATTTGATGAGGCTTAGAATTCATATTTTATTCTATATTAAAAATATAATTAATCGTGTAATAATGAAAATTTGAATTTATAATAATGTGGTGGAAGTAAAAAGTAAGGAAACTACAATAAAAGAGAACCATATCTTTTCCATAAGAGGAAATCTTCCTCTCTTCAATTAATTGTACATTAATCCAAATGTATGAACTATTTGCCCTACGAGTTCTCGATATA